CCCCCCCCCCCCCCCCCAAGATAATACCCCCCGCCCCCCAGACAATATAGGAAATTATTAAAGCCGACTTGTCCCATGCCATAGGAGTCCGAGCTTGCAAATCCCCCGAAGCCCTCCACCCCAAGGCCCCCTCGAAACTTCTCAGAGACTCCACTATCCCGAAAAAAAAAGGAAGATACCCTAAATTATAATAGGATCCCTAAGTAAGATATATTCCTTAATTTAGGAATATACCTTAAACTATAGTAGGATCCCTAATGTGATTTAAGGTATATTCCTCAATTAAGGGATATTGGAGTCTCTGGGTTCAGCCGGCAGGCGTGCTGATGGCGGCACCGGCGGCCGCCACGCTCATTTCCTGAGACGTCCGCGCCTCCAGATTCGCCAGGGCCACCTTCTCGCAGAGACACAGAACCTAAAACCCTAAACCCCTAACCCCCTAGACCCCTACATCCCTAATACCCTTAACCCCTAAATCCTGAACCCCTAATCCCTAAAGCCCTAAAGCCCTAAACCTCACGGCCCCTTCCCAAAAGCCCAGGGAGCCCAATACCCCTTGATTGGGGCATATGCCTTAAATCATAGCATAAAGGCCCCTGTAATTTAAGGTATATTCCTTACGGGTTATTTAGGGGGTTATATAGGGGCCTAATTACCACTACTATTTTGGGGGTTCCTTATCAGAAATATAGTATAATATGCCCCAAGACTCTATTCCCCCATATTAATGGACTCTCTGGGCTTCTCAAAGGCCCAGGGAGCCCAATACCCCTTAATTGAGGCATTTACCTTATATCATTGCATTAAGGCCCCTAAAATTCAATCAATAGTATTCCTTATTTAGGGGGTAAGTTGGGCTCTCTGACCTTCTCACAGGTTCTATTCTAATTATTAAGGCCCCTAAACCCTAAACCCTTACAGAAGCCCTTATAGGACCTCTTTTAAGTAACCCTTTAAAGGAACCCTCTCTATATTAATGGGCTCTCTGGGCTTCTCAAAGGCCCTAAACCCTAAACCCTAAACCCTTATAGAGCCCTTTAAGGGCCCTATTCTTCCTTATTTAAGGGGTTAAAGTGGGGTCTCTGGGCTTCTCACTCTTGGAGGATCATGGGACTTAGTAAGTAAGGTTATAAGTACCCTAATAGGGGTTATCATTATAGTTACCTTATTTTTCACCCTACTTATAACTACCCATGAACCTCCAAGACAGGCTCTATTCTAAAAAATAAGAACCCTAAACCAAACCCTAAACCCCAAAGCCCTGAAACCCTAAACCCTAAACCTTACTTACTAAGCCCCATGATCCTCCAAGTGGGCTTCTCACGGGCCTGCCAACTCGAGCTCCGCTCACAGGCCGAGAGCAAAGCGCCCAGGGACACGGCGCTTGGCCGCAGCTGGGAGGGACGCTGCCGGGACCTTGGCTGCTCATGTTGGGGCCTTGATAATTAGAAGAGGGTTTTGGGGGTTCCTGATTAAAAGTATAGCATACGATACCCCTGTATTTTAGGGGCCTGAATATTAGAATAGGGTTTTGGGGATATCTTATACTATAACTATAAATTAAAAGAGGAACTCGCAACATAGTATAGGTAATTATTAAGGCCCCTATTTTAGGCTCGCAGACACCCTTGCGAGGCAAACGCCAAGGAAAGGGGCATCGGCCGGCCGTCGCCCCTTTTATGCTTGCATGTGTCGTGATCAACATCAAGGTAGATCTTCTTGTTCATGGTGTTCATGCTGTCCATGTTTTTCATGTTGTTCATGATGATGATGATGATGATGTTGTTGTTGTTGTTGCAACTGTTGTGGTTGTTAAGCAGGATAGGAACATTTCCGAAACAAGTACGTGCAACAAGCACAGAAACACTGTAAATACCGACTACATGGATGCAGCTGCATCGTCAGTTGCAGTGTTTTCACGCACCTGGGCAGAAAATTCCAGGATTTGTCTCAGGCTGCGCCTCTGTGAAAAAAGAACGTTCGAGACCACGAAGACCGGAAAACGTCGTAAATACCAGTGATATCGGCCTTTGCGCCATGTGAGGATGGCAGGCGGACGAAACCTGATTAAAGAAAACAAAGCGGAGGCCACCGGCACATCACCCATGTGAGACACCGTTACGATGCAACCGCCATGTGGGTTTTACGGGTTTGCATTGCGTTGGAGCGATGTTGTTGTTGCAGCTGCTGTTGCCGCTGCTGCAGTTGCTGTTGTTGTCGCCGTCATCGTTGATGATTTCGCGGTCGTCGTGGTGCTGTTGCTGCTGATGTTGTTGCTGTGGGTGTGGTTGTCGCGGCGGCAGTGGTGGTGCTGTTGTTGATGCTGCTGGCGCTAGTGTTCTTGCAGACGTCTTCGTCGTCGCAAAGTCCGAGGCACAACCAACCCATGGCCTGCTGCCATCGTCGGACCAGGCCGCAGGCCGTGCTGGTGGCCTGAGTTGCTGAGTTCGTAAGCCCCCCAAAAAGTGTACACTTTCAGTTCTAGAAGGGATCATATAATCCCAAAAAATGTAAAGTGTACTCACTCAGCTACTAAGTGGCATTGTAGACGACGACGTCCGCCTCCCAGCACACACGAGTCTTGCTGAGGGATTCATGTCGTTGGGTTTAATGCGTCGGGAGGTCTCTCGCAAGCTTGTCCAACAGAATCCGAAAACTTTCAATGAATACCTTCAACATGCCAAGTCCGCTTCCGATCTGCCGTCAAGGAGAAAGTACTTCGACCTTCGTCCACCCCCACATCGGAGACACATCCCATGGCCGATCTAGTGGGCCCCTGAGCCTTGTAGAATCTAGACACAAGTACCCAGAGAGCCCAATATTCCTTAAATAAGGAATATACCTTAAATTATAGGGGCCTTAATATTACGATTTAAGGTATATTCCTTAGTTAAGGGGTATTGGGCTCTCTGGGTACTTCACATACTCCGCCTCAGCGCTGGATTGCCGCAAGCGAGCAAGCAATGGGCCTGCGACCTTCACGGGCAAGGATTCCAGTAGCATGCCCAGCTCTGCTTGGAGGATCATGGGACTTAGTAAGTAAGGTTATAAGTACCCTAATTGGGGATATGACTATAGTTACCTCATTTATAACCCTAGTTACTAAGTCCCATGATCCTCCAAGTGTCTGAACCTAAAGCCCTGCTAGGATTCGGCTCGAGGTCGAGGTTTCGGTTCGGCAGTTTTTGGAGGTATGGTATCGGTATAGTGGTCTAAACGTCCTCGTGGAGTACTCAATGAAGCCGACTTGCATCTCTGTGAAGCCAGCAGAAAATGAAAAACCCGAACACAACTCGCCCGAAAGAAGACCGTTGCCCCGTGTCGAGATTTTTGGATCTATGTTACCGCCTAGGCCTCATTGCATGGCAAGCTTTGCAGTGAACTCGTTGGATCCCGCGGATCCCGGAGCGGCGCAATCAGCTCACTAGACCCTGAATCCCCTACGTGGAGGATCATGGGACTTAGTAACTAGGGTTATAAGTACCCTAATTGGCGTTATACTTATAGTCACCTTATTTATTAATTACTAAGTATTGGGGTGACTTATAGTTACCTTTTTTATAACCCTAGTTACTAAGTCCCATGATCCTCCAAGTACCCCCCGAACCCCCGAGCTACCTTCCATTCCCCCTCGCGGCCCACTTGCCGGATGGCCGTGCTGACGGCCGCAGGCTCCATCTACCAGCGTTTGGGGAGTGAAGCAAGGCTGTCAATACATATTTATAAGTCTCGTTCCGCAAAGTTCCCCCTCTCCTGCACTGCACGGGTGAACTCAGAAACAGCGGGCAACGTGCAGCAAAGGTGAACAACGCCTCGACGTCGTGAGAAATCGATGGCCGCATGTGAGACAGGTGCTGCAACGTTGCATGCGTTTGGCTATCACCTCCTCCAAAAATGACAGCCGGCGCAACTTGGCAAATACGTCGTAGCCTGCATCGTGACGAGGCTGCGGCGCCAGGTAAGAAAGTGCGAGCCCCCGCCACCTGTGGCGGTTCCTGGGCTGCAGGGCGTCTAGGTCGCTGCTGCAAGGCTTTAGCATGGTGTCGCCTGGCAGCATGGTGTTGCGAGGGATCAAGAACGGTTTGGGGGTGTCGTGCTAGGGCTCTCTCCTCTACCACAAAGCCAAAGTGAAAGCCTCGTATCAAGTCTGCTGAAGCCCTGCGCACCTGACTCTGCCAAGCCGTCGAAGTCCATGGACACGGCCAACTTCCAGCCTCACCAAACACTTCACAGACTGGGGAGGCTTCGCTTCGGTGGTGTGCTTCCTCAGGTTTAGGAGCTTCCAATGTTCGAGTTCAACCGTCACCGGAGGATGCAGAAAAACCCAGGGACTCAGCTATCTCCCTGCGTTTCTACGCAGAGTTGAGGGGCCTGCACTGCTTTAGATTGCAAATGGCCCCCGAAACCCTAAACCCTAAACCCTAAAACCTAAAACCCTAAACCCTAAACCCTAAACCCTAAAACCTAAAACCCTAAACCCGAAACCCTAAGTGGTCCCGAAACTCCCGATTTGATGTCGACCACGCCTCGAAACTGAAACTCAACCGCGCAGAGGCCCTGAAGCCGCATGCTACTGTAATGTAGGGGCCTTAATAATTAGACTAGGGATATTTGGGTTCCTTTGAAGGGTTCTATAAGGGCCACTGTAAGGGTCTAGGATGTAAGCCTTAATAATTAGAATAGGGTTTGGGGGGTTCCTTTAAAGGGTTCCTTGTAAGGGGTTCTATAAGGGCTACTATAAGGGTTTAGGGTGTAGGGGCCTTAATACTTAGACTAGGGTTTTGGGGGTATACTATACTATAATTATAATGAGGACCCCCCCTCCCCCCCTCCACCCCCCCCAAAAAAAAAACAGTACAGGTAATTCTTGAGGCCCCTATAGTAGGCCACAAGAAGACGGCCTCCTCTGGCTGCAGCAGAGACGGCGGCGTGTCGGGCCACCCGGTCGGGGCGCCTGGGAGAAGAGCTGATCCCAAGCAGGCTGAAGTGACGAAAACCCAGAGCGCCCAATACCCCTTAATTAAGGAATATACCTTAAATCATATTAAGGATCCTACTATAATTTAGGTATATTCCTTAATTAAGGGATATTGGAGTCTCTGGGCAGGCTGAAGTGACAGAAAGAGGCCACGGGGCCATGCACTTTGTGGCGGCTGACGAGTTCGTCGAGGCACTCTTCGTCAGGTCTGAAGTAAACTTGAAAGTTTTGGGTTCGATCAGGCAGGATACGGACTTTGCGCGTGCTTGAACCTCGGTGCCACCGTCTATACCGATCAGAGGGGACGCAGGGCAAATCCGTGCTTAATGGCTTTGGTGTTCTGGCAATGGGATCTTTTTGACATGAGAAACGTGGCTGAGGCATCCCGCGACATGAGAGACGTGCCTGAGGCATCCCGCGACCGCAACCCGTACAAACCTTCGAAAGGCGGTTACAAGAGGCAAAACTGTGCACTGACTGGCGGAGGCGACAACACCGGCATCTGACTTAGTTGACTCCCGAAGCAGCGAAGTGATACCCCTCAGAATGCGGCAGCCTGGCGATGGTAGGTTCTTTCAGCCTTCCCTTTGCATTCTTTGGCTCTGGTGTGTGACTGGTCGTGGTCAAGATGCATGCAGTTCAACTTGGAGGATCATGGGACTTAGTAACTAGGGTTATAAATATTGTAACTATAATTATAACCCCAATTAGGGTCCGCGCCGAGTGGCAGACCCCGACAGAGCTCCTTGAAGATGCAAAGGGCGGAAGCCCACTGCGCCCCTGCAACTACCCAGAGACTCCAATATCCCTTAATTAAGGAATATACCTTAAAATATAGTAGGATCCCTAATATGATTTAAGGTATATTCCTTAATTAAGGAAAATAGGAGTCTCTGAGTACGTGGAGCACCGCTGCTGAGAGTTGATGATTTAGGCATTAGGCTCTACTTTCGATTGGGCTCCAAACGATTTGGAGCTGAGTTCTAAACCGAAGCTAGGCAAAGCCGTACCAGCCGCAGATCAAGTTGTGAGCGGTCTGAAGGCAAGGCAAAAGGCACTTGGGCTCTGTGGTTGTCAGCTTTTCCATGCGCGGTCTTTGGGCAAAGGGGTTGCGTCGAATCGGTGTCCCGTAAGACGCTAGTGCGTCAGAAGGTCTGGGCATTCTGGCCCCAAAGAACGGCACGACAGTGCACTGAAATAACGTAGGGGCCTAAAGAAGTAGAAAAGGGTTTTGGGCTCCTTCATAGTATTCCTATCCTAAGGAACCCTAACAGTAAAAATATTCGTAATCATTCAGGCTTCTAATATAAATCTATATACTGTCCGTCGAAGCCCAGGCCTTCACCCTCTTCCCTGCTGTACGTAGCTTTTTACATCCTAAGTTTGAGTTATAGACATCTGCGGGAGTTGATCACCCATGATACTTTAGATTCCCTAAACCCTAAACCCTAAACCCCTAACCCTAAACCCCAAACCCTAAACCCCTAAACCCCTAAACCCCTAAACCCTAAACCCCTAAACCCCTAAACCCTAGACCCTCCCAAACCCTAAACGCCAAGACCCGAGTCAGGAGCATGGCCAAGCTTTGGAGTTCTCACAAGATCCCGGCGGTCCCCAAGGACTGCCTCAAGAATTTAATATAGGGGCCTTGATAATTACCTATATTAGTGTGGATGTTCGTTAGTATAAACATAGTATAAGGTGCCCGAGAACTCTATGCTAATTATTTATTAAGGCTCCTACATTAAAGTGCCATGCACAGGCCTCGGGCACAGGCCTGAGTGGTTGTACCGACCACGATGACCTTCATCAAAGATGTCTGTGTATGAGGGAGAGACACAGACACAGAGAGAGTGAGAGAGAGAGAGAGAGAGCGAGAGAGAGAGAGAGAGAGAGGGGAGCCAGATGCTTAAGCTGGCTTGTGCTGTGTCACTTTTCCGCTATTGCCCTTTTGCTCAAAGCAACCCGGAAAAACGCGGGATCGTATGCTGCGGTGTAGCCTTTGCACTCTTCACTATGACAATGGCGTAGAGCCTCAAGACAGTCTCCGACTACGTTCTTTGCTGGAGCGCTGTTGGAAAGATGCTTGCAATAGACACAGGGATAGTAAGACAATGTTGCCCACCCTTTCGAAACTGCAATCATCCCGAGCACGTCTTAGATCCCGGCGTTGGGGTTGATGCCCTTGCGCTGGAGATCACCGAGAAGACCCGTGGCCTTCCGAAAAGCCAACGCTCAGCGCACACGAGGTCTGGAGCAAGACTCTGGCTTCGACCCAAGCTGTCCCGAACATCGAATACCCGACTGCTTGCGCCTGACTTTCGCCAAGGTGTAATTATGCCTATGCACAGCAGTCACGCGCTGTGACCTCGGAGTGGGAACGAGCCGTCAGCGCTCAAACACTTCATGCTATACTCCGGCATGAACGAGTCATCGCAGGCGCTTTGTTCGGGGTGGGCAGGAAGGTTGGAACGCAATGCAACTGCTGCCCGCAAGCTTGCGAAGATTCGTTGAAAATTGTTCCTGAGACACTTCGGGCCCTTATAAGTGACCCTAAACCCTGAACCCTAAACCCTAAACCCTGAACCCTGAACCCTAAACCCTAAACCCTGAACCCTGAACCCTAAACCCTAAACCCTAAACCGGTGAGGGTCTAGCGTTTCTAGCGCGCTCCCGTCGTGCGCGGGCTCTCGGCCAAGGGAGTCGGTGACCTGGGCGCTTCCCGCAATGCCTGGATCCAAAGAGCCCAACTTACTCCTTAAACCATATTAGGGACCCTACTATACTTCAAAGCAGGGAGCCCAATACCCCTTAATTGAGGAATATACCTTAAATCATAATATTAAGGCCCTTATAATTCAAGGTATATTCCTTATTTGAGAATAAGGAATAGACCTTAAATCATAATTTTTAAGGCCCCTTATAATTTAAGGTATATTCCTTAATTAAGGGGTATTGGGCTCTCTTGGCAAGCAGAATCAGAACCAACCCTGAAGTCTCGAAGTGTGCTACTATAGGGGCCTAGATAACTACCTATACCATCGTGGGGGGCTTCATATTATAGTTATAGTAATATAGTATACTATACCCCAAAACCCTACTCGAATTATTCAGGCCCCTATACCCTAAACCCTTATATAGTAGCCATCATAGAATCCCTTACAAGGAACCCTTTAAAGGAACCCCCCAAACCCTATTCTAATTATTAAGGCTTACATCCTAGACCCTGATTACGTCCCTGGCGCTCATCTGGTGCCTGCAGCCACTGGTCTGCCCTGTCGCAAGCACTGAGTGTGGCCCCTGCCGTGATGATGTTGCCTGGCTGGTCTGAACATAGAGAGCCCAATACCCCTGAATTAAGGAATATACCTTAAATCATAATACTAAGGCCCCTGTAGTTTAAGGTATATTCCGTATTTAAGGTGTATTGGGCTCTCTGGGAACATACGTTCGTCAAGTCAAAAGACTGTGCCAAGCTGCGATTCAGCAACATGCACCCTTCGAAACTACAAGCTTCAGAGATAGCAGCAAGCTTGCCCAAGAAAGAGCGACAGGGAGATATTCAGTGCGAAGCAGTCACCTTCCAACGAAAAAACTAAACCCTAAACCCTAAACCCTAAACTCTAAACCGAGGGCCTTCCAGCTGTCGCGGCTGCATTGCGGCTGCAAGGGCGAGGGCGTGGACCCAAGCAGCCTGCCGGCTGTGAGCCTCGGTAGCTGCTCTTCCGGAATGGGTACTGAAACCGTCTGTTTCTGTCTCTTTCGCTATCTCTCGCTCGCTCTTCCTCTCTCTCTCTCTCTCTCTCTCTCTCGCTCTATATATATATATACATACACATATATGTATATATATATATATATATATCTGTATACATACATATATGTATGTATGTATGTATGTATGTATGTATGTATGTATGTATGTGTATATATATATATATAAACAAACACACGCGTATCCCCAATCATTGCACGGATGCTTGAATTGAACCTCAAGCGCTGAGGGACTTGGCTTCGCGAGGCGACTTGGAGTCAGAGTTCTGGATCACACCCAGAGACTCCAATATCCCTTAATTAAGGAATATACCTTAAATCATATTCGGGATCCTACTATATTTTAAAATATATTCCTTAATTAAGTGGTATTGGGGTCTCTAGGCACTCGAGTGTCCGGGTCTTCGAGCTTCGAGCCCGCTTTGGAGTCGCGTGCGCATGTTCCTACAAACTCCAACATCCCTTAATTCAAGGAATATACCTTAAAATATAGTAGGATCCCTACTATGATTCAAGGTATATTCCTTAATTAAGGGATATTGGAGTCTCGGAGCAACACGGCAGCGCATGGTATGCCTCAACAACCTGCTGCGCACATGAGCAGCATTACGACATGACGAAGCGCCGGAAGTGCTTGCGGGATGCCGAGGACACCGTAGCGATGATCGCAGTGAGCACACGGCCAGCCGCATCCCCGTCTGCCACGAAACTCAAACTGCAAGTCCAAACGGACACGATGTCCTCCCTACCGAGGCCTTAATTGAGTTCCGGAACTAGCTTGGAGGATCATGGGACTTAGTAGCTAGGGCTATAAATACGGTAACTATAATTATAACCCCCAATTAGGGTACTTATAACCTTACCTACGAAACCCTAGACCCTAAACCCTAAACCCTAAACCCTGAACCCTTACTTACGAAGTCCCACGAGCCTCCAAGAAGTGCTCTTGCAAACCCGGTATCGATGCGACATGCCCTGCCCAAACACCCAGAGAGCCCAACTTACCCCTTAAATACGGAATGTACCTTAAATTCTAGGGGCCTTAAAGGGATCTATAGGGGTTTAGGGTTTAGGAATGTACCTTAAACTCTAGGGGCCTTAAAGGGATCTGTAGGGGTTTAGGGTTTAGGAATAGACCTTAAATTCTAGGGGCCCGTAAAGGGATCTATAAGGGTTTAGGGTTTAGGGTTTAGGATATACCTTTAAATAATATGCGCCCTAATATTATGATTTAAGGTACATTCCTTAGTTAAGGGGTATTGGGCTCTCTCTGGGCATCTCCAAGCCACCGCAATGGCCGTGCCATGGGCAACCACCGGATGGATCCGGCGTTCCGGTCCTTATCCAAGCTCAACTGCTGCCTTCCCAAACCCCCAAAAGGATCTAAAAAATAGATCCCCTAAGGGGGTTTCTATAAAGTACCCTTTAGTAGTTAGGGTCCCTAGCTAGGGGATCTAGTTTTTAGATCCTTTTGGGGGTCTGGGTTAGGACTTTGCACTTAGGACCTATAGGATTTTGAATTCCACCCTGCTGGTTTCCATCCGATAGCAATAGCTGGTGTCGCGGTTCAGCCTGGCAATCTTCAAGCAACTTGCGAAACCCCACACAACTTCGCAAGTGCTGCGATGGAGCACAGGACGTAACTCGTAGCCCCCAACTCCGACAAACCGGAAGCAGATCCTGCCCAGAGACTCCAATATCCCTTATTTAAGGAATATACCTTAGATCATATTAGGGATCCTACTATAATTTAAGTTATATTCCTTAATTAAGGGATATTGGAGTCTCTGGGTGAGACATCTGGAAGCTGCTCACCCCGACCGGATGCTTCCGTGGCGCCGACGACCACGAGCTGCAGTGCATCCAGCCATACGCACAGCGGGGCCATGCCGATGCCATGAGCGACCAGCTTTTGAACCGGTTTGGGGCTCGGCTGCTTCAGCAACGTCAGGTTCAGAATGTTTCGGCCGCTTGCTTTTCAGCATTCTCTGCCAGGCTTCCCGGCATCGTACTTACATGCCCCTGATCGTCTCTGAGGTGTCTATTGCCCTGAAGCCAGCGAGGCGTCGAGGCTTCGGAGATGTGACGTGGTACCTGGGGCTTGACGTACGCTTCTGACTCTGATCGTTGACCCAAGCCAGTGGTCTGTCCTGTACTTGGAGCTTAGTAACTAGGGTTATGAGTAAGGTAACTATAATTATAATCCCAATTAGGGTACTTATAACCTTATTTACTAAGTCCCATGATCCTCCAAGTAGTTTTCGAGCAGCCCCAATGCAACAGCAGGGCTTGCACTGTGTACCAGCCCAATGCCCAAGTCCAAAGCCAGTAGGTCTTGCCCCCCGAGAATTCCCAGAGACTCCTTTTCCCTTAATTATGGAATATACCTTAAAATATAGTAGGATCCCTAATATGATTTAAGGTCTATTCCTTAACTAAGGGATATTGGAGTCTCTGGGAATTAGACCATATTCCGAACAAGCGATCGACAAGGTATGGCCGGCAGAACCACGGCGAGGCCCAGTGCGAGGATGACGCGAATCATCACCTCACACTTCATTCAAATACTTGGGAGTTTCAGAAAATTAGGGGTACCTTATTCTGGGGTCCTTATAATAGGGATCCTATTATTTAGGGTACTATATTAGGGTCCCCTATTTTCGGAAACCCCCACTTGGCGCTTCGGCAGGCTAAAGCGGCTTAGATGTTGATGGGGTCTCTGGCCTTTCTCGGAGGTTACACTTGGAGGATCATGGGACTTAGTAACTAGGGTCATAAATAAGAAAACTATAATAAGCCCAATTAGGGTACTTATAAGCTTACTTACTAAGTCCCATGATCCTCCAAGCATGTGAACAGCACTCGACGTCTGGGAGGACTTGAAGGCTGCAGCCTCAAGGCAAAGACTTCAAGTGGAGATGGGAGTTTCCGAAAACTAAGGGTACCTTACTTAGGGGTCCTTATAATCAGGATCCTACTATTTAGGGTACTATATTAGGGTCCCCTACTTTCGGAAACTCCCAGATGTAGCGAGTATAGGCACACGCGGCATGCTACGCCAGAGCTCCAGGTCTAGATCCACTTAGAAATTAGAACCCGCTGCTTTCGCCCGGCCCTTCAGGCAGGGACCTGACACACGAAGTGGAGCGAAATAGATCCGCTGTGCGCCCCTACTTCGCCCGTTATCAGCTGGAGCCGGCAACCCAGGGATGTAGGGATGCTTAGCGGCTTGAGGCTTTGGGATGGGTGCTTGGTAGGTTCTGTGTGCTTCGAGTGCATAGGCTTTTAAAACTTTTTTGTGCAACTACGGCTGAGACTGAGGTGAAGCATGTTGGGGCTTTCTGATTGGAGTGATGCTCGGCGAAAGTCTTCAAGCTCCCCTGCTAGTGGCCCTGCTATGCCTACAACACAAATCAGCAGGGAATACTACAGGGCCACGATTGCTCGGGCACAAATCTCGGACTAACGTGGCTTATGTGGCACGTGAAGGAAAGATGACGCGAGCTCTCGTTTCAAGTGTACGCATTTTCCCAAGATCCGTTTTAAAGCCGCACGCAGCATATACAACTAACGGCAAAGACCGAAACCGAATCATGCTGCTTAAGGACACAGAAAGGCTTTCCGTCGACGTCTGGTTGCAATAAACATGACTTGGCTAATATAGGGGAATTTCCTATATTATCTTGGGGGCTCTTTATTATAGTTATAGTACAATATACCCCAAAACCCTATTCTAATCCTAAACCTTAAACCCTAAACCCCAAACCCTAAACCTAATTACTAAAAGGCCCCTTTTGTTAGGGGTAAGGAGGTCCAAGACTTGCTAAACCGCACACGCAAGCCCCGGCAAGCCCTCTTTTGTCCCCTCATGTCGCTGCATTGCGAAGCTCCACCTGCGCTGGGATGCTTCGGGTGGATGCTTGCGGTCAACCACCCAGAGAGCCCAATACCCCTTAATTAAGGAATATACCTTAAACTACAGGGGCCTTAGTATTATGATTTAAGGTATATTCCTCAATTAAGGGGTATTGGGCTTTCTGGGCATGGGGGCACGTCCGCAGGTGGCATGGTGGTGATCTTGCATACTAGGCTTGACAGGCGGCCCAAGTGCACAGACAAGCGGCAACACAAACGAAACGTAACGGCACCCAAGCGCGTGCTTCAAGTGCATAGTCATACACCCTTTACACCCATGCCAAATCATCCCCTTGCCAAGTGTCCAGTGTCGAATGTCGTTGACGAGCCCTGCTAGGAATCCAGGGCGTCGTGAAACGGGTTCTAGCACCTCCGAGTACACACTGCTAGTCAAACTCCATGCGTATGTAAAACTGTAAGTACGTGTCAGCAGGGGCTTGCACTCGTCCACCGGTCCTCTACAAAAACCGAAGGAAGCACAGTTCAAGAGCGCCGGCCGTTCAGCAAGACCTCTAGAACCCTTGCCGACACAAGGCATAACCTGAAGGGCGGCACTCAACACCGGGCACCTCTTCAGGTGGTGCCGCCATTTCCAGAGCTCTGCTCCTCAGCAAAAAGTGGCCACAGTGGCATTTGGAGTTGTTAGCTGGGTTTCTACGGACTTGCTGGGTCCCTAATGGGGTCGGGCTCCAAGCTCGAGTTTCGAGATTTGCCATTCCGTTTCGGATTGCTTCGAGGTCGCGGTTGAGGATCTGGGCGGCTTTGTGCATCCTGGAGCCTCTGCTTGGAGGATCATGGGACTCAGTAACTAGGGTTATAAGTACCCTAGTTGGGGTTATAACTATAGTTACCTTATTTATAACCCTAGTTACTCAGTCCCATGATCCTCCAAGTGGACGATGACCGAATGCCTTAGCGCCCCGAGCTGATGTCCACATGCGGTTGAGGCACTGCTGGATCCTCCGCCGCCACTGGAAGAGGGACAAAGCAATGAAAATGAAAAAGCCCACTGCGACGACCTCCCGATGTGCAGAGAAAGCAGGATTTATCGAGCACTAACACCCCTCGTCTTAGTGCACCCTTTAAGCAACAAAAATAACCAAGCTCATGCCTGCCACCTAAGGCCCGAAGCTGGGCCCCTGCCCGGCGCAGATTCTACGAAGCTTCCCTGAGTTTAGGTTTGGGCCTTGGCTTTGCTCTTAAGGCCTCAAGGATGGCTCAGGGGGTGACGTAGCTGAAGCCCCGGGGGCGATGAAAAAAGAGATGCTCAAGCTTTGGCCTTGTATGCTGGGCCTCTCCGACCCGTGGTATGTCAACATTGGTGGAACGAAGTCGTGCTGAATCCTCTGCAAAATCATAAGAACCCACAGGGAAAGTGGGACCTCGATTCGCCGTCGATGCACAACACGGCACTTCCGACAAGTGTAGTATGCAATGCACACCAGGGCACGCGGAGATCTGCGTACCACACCCAGGCAGGCTTCGAGACCTCACACCGTGGTGAGACTCCAGAACGTTTAAAAGGACATCTTGTGACGAATTGATCGGGGCGGCGAATGTAGGGGCCTTAATAATGAGAACAGGGTTTTGGGGGATATTATACTACATATAATTATAATAAGGAGCCCCCCCAAAATAATATAGGTAACTATTTGGGCCCGTATATTACCCCTTGCAAGCGTTACGGGTTCTCCGACTCCGAGAATTGCGAAGTTATGGTTTCCCCTGTTGTCTCTTTGCCAGCAAAAACCAACGACACCAGCAGCTTACTCTAGGCTGATCCAAAGCGCCGGAAGCCCCTGGACTATACTATAGTAGAATATATATATATATATATGTATGTAATTATATATTATTCTACTATACTTTACTATAATCTACTCTACTGTCGTAGAATATATATTCTACTATACTGTAGTATAACCTACTCTACTATAGTAGAATATATGGTTATATATTGCACTATACTATAATATACTCTACTACAGTATAATATATATATTCATCTACTATACTGTACTATAATCTACTCTACTACAGTATAAATGTACTCTACTATACCGAGCCGGCCCGGTGGTCTGAAGCACTCGGGGCCGGCTTTGAGGATTCCAAGCCCCCAAGCCCGCGCCTGCCAGAGCGCGTCCTCCAAACAGGAGGCAATGCCGGACTCCTTCGGGTTGTTTAGGGTTTTGAGGTCTTGGGTTTTGGGTTTCGGGACCTTTGGGTTTTAGGGTTTAGGGTTTAGGCTTTAGAGGATAATGGTAGTATACCAAGAGGGTCCTTATATGCAACTATTATGGAATTAGGTCCCTAAGACCATAATAAGGACGGTCTTTTGGGACCTAATTCCATAAATGGTTATGTATATGGACCCTCTGGGTTAGCAGAAGGATGGAGGCGGGACGCGTTGGGGATGAGAAGGCTTCCGATCCGTCGTGGAAAAGGGAGAGCTGCCTGCTCAAAGCAGCGAGACCTTCCACTTCACATCACCCTAAACCCCCCCAGAGACTCCAATACCCCTTAATTAAAGAATATGCCTTAAATCATATTAGGGATCCTAGTATATTTTAAGGTATATTCCTTAATTAAGGGGTATTGGAGTCTCTGAGCCTAAACCCTACGACAATGTTCTCGTCTTACCCTTACTTGTCCGACCCATCGAAACGCAACATCTTGGAATCCGTCCGGCCAACACCATGCAAGTTGAAGCTCTCAACGTGAAACATCCATCTATCGATCTATCTCTCTATCTATCTATCTATCTATCTGTCTATCTGTCTATCTGTCTATCTGTCTATCTGTCTATCTATCTATCTATCTATCTGTCCTGTCCATGTATCCACCTATCTTAGCCTAACTACCTCCATCTATCTACATAGGCTATGTAGGATGTGTAGCTTCCGAGTCCTGCTTAAGCGTGAGTATGATAAAACCCAAGGAGGGTGCAGAAGTTTGGGGCGAGAATAGAGGCGAAACATCATCCCGAAAGGGCTTGAAGCTACTATAAAAAGCCTTCAGAATTAGAATAGGGTTTTGGGAGCATAGTATACCACAATTATAATAAGGAATCCCCAAAATATTATACCGTAATTCTTAAGGCCCCATATACTACAAAAAGGAATCCCCAAAAGATTATACCGAAATTCCTATGGCCCCTATATCACCAGTACTAAAGCAGGCAAGCGGCTGAGACGCCGTAGAGGAGGGTGCAGACAGCCGCTCGCCGGCAGGGCCCGGTGCAGCTGCTACAGTCAACCTGGGCGTTGCAGTTGCCATAGGAGCCTAAGCAATTACCAACACTATTTTNNGGGGGGGGTTCCTTATTGTAGTTATGGGACTACTTGGAGCCTACTTAACTGGGGTTATAGGGGGTTTAGGGGTTTAGGGTTTTTAGAGCTCAGAAGTTGGTGTGGCTAACCCAGAGACTCCAATATCCCTTAATTAAGGAATATACATTAAATCATATTAGGGATCCTACTATATTTTAATGTATATTCCTTAATTAAGGGATATTGGAGTCTCTAGGTACTTAACTGGGGTTATATGGGGTTTAGGGTTTAGGGTGTTTAGGGGTTTTAGGGTTGCTTGGAGGATCAGGGGACTTAGTAACTAGGGTTCTAAATAAGGTAACTATAATTAGAACCCCAATGAGGGTACTTATAACCTTACTTACTAAGTCCCATGATCCTCCAAGCAGGAGCCTAAGTAATTACCAATACTATTTTTTTTTGGGGGGGGTTCCTTATTGTAGTTATGGTATAACATAGCTCAGAACCCTATTGAAATTTCTTAAACGCCCCCTATATATGACTCCAAGCTGCTCTGCTTCTTACAATGCGGAAACCAGGTACCCCGGACTTGGAGAAGCATGGAGAAGTCTGGGTTTCTCCAAAAACAAGGTTTGGGGTTGGTCTTGTTTAGGGGTCGGATCGGTTCAGCATGTACTGCAGAGTGCCCGTCTCATGCCGATGTTTGACCTTCGCTCTCGAACGGTCAGAGGGGGAACGGCTCCTCTTACTCAAGCCACTATGTACATGCACATCGCGTCTGTATGTGACGGAACAAGCAGCGCCGCTTGTCTTTAGAGATCTCATGCTCGGGCGCTTCCGGTAATAAGCAGGTCGCCCTCTTGCAAACATAATGTAGGAAGCTGATTAAGAAACCCTGGCCCTATAACCCCAATATGTTAAGGCCCATATTAAGAACCCCAATAAAGACCCAGGGTTTCTTAATCAGGTTCCTACATTCTGCATTTCCAAGCATTGGAAGCCCTGCTGCAGCACCCTGGCCCGAGCACTGGCTTAGACTAAGGTGCTCGAGATCCTCGCCCGCTTCGTGTCACGCTCACATGACTCGCATGAAAATGTGGCATCCAATAGCATCCGCACCACCTCCGCATGGCCCGAGGACAAAGCAGAAAGGAGCGAATCACCGGCGGCAGCATTGGCTTCCAGCAAATGGCGTACCACCTCGGAGTTAAACCCTAAACCCTAAACCCTAAACCCTAAACCCTAAACCCACCTCGGAGTGACCTTTGCGCGCAGCCCGAGCCAGTGCGCTTTTGCCCTTGTGGCTGACCTCAGGGCTGGGAGACCC